ACAATTTGAAATGTTTAGTGTGCTGGTCTTGTGACTTAAAGGAATATAGTGTATATGTGATTTAATATGTAGCTCTGAGAATGTTCAGGACAAAAGAACTTCTGGAAAACATTCACTGCTATCACTGGTTCTTTTACATGGGCGTCCACACAGGAAGATTAGATTAATAGTAAGAGACTGCAGAGTTTAGACTGTTGTACCTGGAAATAATCTGCGCTTCATCTGTCTTAAGTGCAAAATAATACAGATTCTCAAAATAGTACTTTAGAGCTCTATACAGTTTAACTTGCTTTTCTTTATTAAAAGTAAGGAAGGGACCTTGTTAAAAATAATCAGAGCTTCACTGATTGTGCCTGACCTTGTGACACTGTACCAGATAAGTGGCTGGTCCACAGATGATGATGGATGAATGGATGGATGGATGGATAATTCAAAGCTGAAATGTTTTCATTTCCACAGCTGTTTGGGTGATTATACGCTTGGTTTCTTGCAGACAAATACCCGTATATCTGGCTAGACCCTGGCTGGTATGTCATCGAAGGCGAGTCTGACAATGCAGGACACACCATCTTCACCTTCATCCTTCTCTTTCTCATTACTCTTTTCTACAGCATTGGGGCCACTCTCACCAAGGTAACAGTCGGCACAGGATGCGCAGCCGTGACAGGTCGTTCCGATAGGCACACACACTTTAATGAGTAAATGTATCACGCTGTCTCTTTTCTCAGGACAAACCAAACTCTGATTTACCTTAAACGGTCTTCCAATGTTGTATTGTTTCTTTAAATGACATCCAGGTTTATGTTAAGAAATAAGACTATTGATTTTTTTTTCCAATATGAAATATACATGAATATAGTAATTAAAGTAACAAATAACAAAAAAACTTTTCTCACCAATAGTATGCTCTAGCTATAAATTATAATACAAGCATGAAACACTGATTGGCTGACTGAATAAAATCAGCTTTAGTTGGTATTTTGGAAGCTACACTACTGGCCAAAATTGTGGAAACGTCCAATTCTTAGAGAACTTTGTTCAAATGTTGCTCCAGTTACTTATTTAATTGTCCATTATATGATTTTAAAAATATCACACGTTGGATGATTAAATAAGTAATTGAAGCGATTGTTCAATAAATTTCTTCAGTCTCTAAACTGTGTGTTTCCACAATTTTTGTCAGTAGTGTACATTTAATTCCAGTATGACTGCATAAATGCTACATCACCGGTGTAGTGTTCCCTAACATAAACCTCGGCTTTACATGACTGGGATACAGGGCTTTGAGATATAAGTTTAAATACTGAAATCAATGTTTCTGAAATCTGAAAACAATGTTCTGATTATATATTAATTGTGCATAAAGTAAGACTGCGTATATTCAAATTTTTAATTCTTTATAAAAAGTGTGATTGCAGACATGTTAAACTGTTTTTGTTCTTTTATATCTATAAATAAAACATACATATCTTCTTGTTTTCTTTAAATATACTTTTCAATTTCAGATGAAATGATTGCCTGTTCAGAAGAACTGATACCAAATGCAAATTAGTTTTACTGTGAGTTACATTATGCTTGTTTTAAATGTGTCTGTGCTTTTCTAAAAGTAATTTTTCTGTTATCTTTTCTCATCATTTGTCCTGTTAAAACTAAAAATAATTGCACCCGTATATAATTTTGCACCATTTTGCATACCTTAATTTTTGTGCATTATTTTCATACAGTATTGTAATAAAAGCTATTAAATGTATAAAATAATTGTGTTGTGATTTGTATATGTTTGTTACAGTAACTGAATAAAAAATTTGATTTCTAATCCTGAACTTGTGTATATCCTTGATTTGTGCAAATTATTTCAAACCTTAAAATGTACTATTTCCTGTTTTGTCTATAAAAACAATTAAATGTTTTTCACAAAAAATGTTATGACCATTTTACTAATGTTTACCTATTTAAAATAAATGAGCACTCACCCAGTTCCGTTACGCTACAATAGACTAAAGCAGTTTGATTAAAATTGTATTCATTTGTCTTGTATAAAACAGAATGCCAGTTACCTCGGACATATTTTTATTAGGAATTTTAACCATTATTAAAAGTTCGTTTTTATAAAAAAAAAAAAAAAAAAAAACAGAGGTTGAAAAAAATAAATAAATAGGTGCATTTTTTTCAGATGTTTGAAGCGGCGGGCGCGTACCTGATTTTACCCAGGGTGCCAATAAAATTAAATTATACTGTAAATTTATATTTGAAAATGTGGCTTGCGTTAGTCGTACCAATGTCTAATAATAATTTATTGTAAATATATCTACTATTTTTTAAAATAAATGTATTTATTTGGATGGATGACTGGTTGAACTCTCTTGCCTTGTGCCCCTGGGAGAAAAGCCAAAAGCCGCTTATGTGCAGCTGTGTGCAGGTTGCATGTTTCACTTCTGCCTCTTTGCTTTTGCAACCTTTTTTGCGCTCTGAGTGTTACTTAATTCTTCCCTCCTCTGCGTTCTGTGCTCACCAGGGCGTGACTTTAACTGAATGCTTTGCATTAAATTTGCTGTGTGCACCTGGCAGCCAGCAAACAGTCCCCCAGCTTCAATTTCACTTCTTGGAACTGGTGTAGATCATTTGCATTATTAATATATGTGTGACTTTGTATCATTTTATTGTAAATCTGGAATCATTGGGCCAATTTAATCCAAGGACAAGATTTAAAAACCAAAACATCCATTCAGTACACAAATAATTTGTCAGTAGATGCTTTAACCAATACAGATAGGAGGCATTTATAATGACAAGCTTGAAATGTGAACAGGATTCTGTTGTTGGAATGTTGAGTAATTGAAAGAATATAAAAATAATAATACACCCTGTAACCTTGTACCAGATAAGTGTTTACAAAATGCATAATACATATGTGAAGTTTTATGCGATATATAAATAAATAAAATATAGAAAATAGTTACACTATTAACAATAATATAATTAAAATAAAGCAAACAATAATAAATAAGATGCCCTGTTATGTGTTATATAAAATATTAATTTCCTTATTTGACAAAATTAATTACGTTTTTTTATTATTAATAATAACAGCATGTAAGGAACTCCAGTCCAGTGCATTTACTGGTTAACTAGACTACATGTTATCATTCTCCACTCCGACAATGCTCAAAGTTCATTTCAGTTTTTTTTTTTTTTTTTTTGCAGTGCCATGCAACATACAAAAAAGCTACAGTGTTTTATAGAGAATAAAGACTTTACGTTTCTTGCTTTGATATATTAGCAATACATTTTTCTGAACATTTAGTGCATGTTTTTGATCCAGGAAAGACAGTGAGTGTTATTAAAGCAATGAATCCTACTGCAGAATATCACCTAAAAGAAGAAAAATTATAAATGCAATGTATACAATACTCTACCTATAATGTGTATATATAATACATGTAAACCATAATATTCACCATTAGATTGCTAGACCAGGCAAGACTAGTGAAGCATCAACTGAAGAAATATGCATCTTTTTTTAACTGATGTTACTGAAAGTGCTGCTATCGGGACAGTAAAATGAGATCTGAGAAACGAAAGAGAGAACAGCTCAGAGAAGCTCTGAACCGTCCTAGTTGTGCGTGATCTCTGGCAAATGTGACAAGGCCTATGAAGTCTAACAAAGAGTATTATTTGAGGTATCTGAAGGTAATGCAGCTGTTGGTAAAATAATAATATGTATATTTTTGTCAAATTACCATTAACTGTCACAGATGAGTTGCTGGTATTTATGGACTGTCTTGAATTTATAAACCTGCGTAAAAAATATTTTGTGGGGCCACAGAAACACATAAAACATTTTTGCAATGTATTAAATCTAGTCCTGCCTCCCTGTCTATGACAAGGAGTTATATTAGAAGCAGATATAGAAGATGGATGGATGGATGGATAGATGGATAGATATTTAATTAAATATAATATTAAAAAATTAAATATATTAAAGTAAATATAGATCTTATATAATACTATCAAAAATATTTAAAGTTATTCATCTGGATAGTAAGTGTATTACCTGAAAAACATTGTAACATTTGAATATATGCACACATCGGTATATTGAATGGTTAAGTCAAATACTGGAGTGATTTCAGGAGAGGTTTTGAAATGGCTAAGACACTTTGACACACATATAGTTTTATACCAACACGATTCAATTTTCTTTGCCTCAGCTTTTTGTACAGTACTAGATATTGTTTTAGAATAAATTACTGTCAAATATTCATGTACTTTGTGTTCCTTTCACAAAAAATTACATAATAATTCAGTAATATAATAGATAATTTATGATAAAATTACATTATATTTGTAATACATAAATCAATTATGTTACATTTAATATAACTCATTGGCCAGCAGTATGGATTCATTTCCATTTGTCACTATCTATCTATCTATCTATCAATCTGGCTTTTCATTATGCTATTTGAATGTTTTGTTTTGTTGAAAAAAACATATAGAGGTTATTTATCTGGGTAGGAAATGCATATAATGCATATTTGCTCAGAAAAATAAAACACAATTTAACATTAGTATATATGCAAATTAATTATGATTAAAAATAAAAAAATTATTCTGTTCTCCAAAAAGTATATATACAGTACCAGCCAAAAGTTTGGACACATCAAACCACCTGCAGAGGAGAGTGATGGTGTCGAATCACATGACCTGGTCACCTGACCTAAACCCAGTAGAAATTGTTTTGGGGGAATCTGAGCAGATACTGAAGGAAAAGTAACCACTGAGTGCTCAGTATGTGTGGGACCTCCTTCAGGACAGCAGGAAAACCATCCCAGGAGGCCACCTCATGATGCTGGACTAGAGGAGACAGTAGGGTCTGCCAGTGTCTGGAGCAACTGGGGTTAAGGGCCCAATGGTGGGATCAGTCTGCCCACCACGAGATTTGAATTTTTATTTTTTAATACAGTTTTGGTCAGTGTATAATTCCATATATGTTATTTTATAGTTTTTATGTATGTAATTATTTGGAAATGTACAGACTTGTATAAATAGAGCTAGAAAAAGAAAAAAATATATATATATATTCACATATACTACACACACATTCCATGTACTTGTGTGTGTATAATTATATATAATTATTACATAATGCAATTTTGCACATGACTCACAGACTAAGTATAATTTAGGGAGACCTGCTCACTGCCTTTGCATATTCTCTCCTGTCAGTCTGCCCGTTTTTAGCTGATTTGGCCAGCACAGCCTTTGTGTTATGGCAGCTCAATGCTGCCCTCTAGTGGACCATGCAGAGCTATAGTCTTAGTACTGTTGCCAGTCCTATACTCCTCGTTAATATTTTTCTTAAATAGAATTTAACTGTCAGGAGGTGAGTGCCGAGGCACAAATACTGCTTCACACGTCGTATTTTATCAATTCCATTGTAATTAGTCAAATCATAAGGCCGTGGTTTTTTACGTAATTGATTTGTGACCTAATTCCTGCACTGAGCAGATATAACTTCTATTCTGTACACTCTCAAAATGCATATATGCCTAGATGAAATACAACACAAATCAGTGGTTCCCTTAAAAGTCTGATTCGTATTTTCATCATTTTAGAACAGAAGCCATTGTACCCAAACATGACACTGTACGCCTCGCCATGGACAGAAGATGAGGAAACAGTGAATTTGCTCTGTGTCTTGAATGGGATCCGATCCAACAAAGTCATTGTGAAATGGGAGGCGATCACCGGCACCACCAGTGAAAATGTTCGTAGTCATCATGAAATCATGGTATCAAAAAATGGAGATGAAAAAGGCACAAAACTCATCAGCCAGGTGACGCTGGAAATGAAGAAGTGGAGCAGCGGCATCAGCTACAAATGCCAGGCTACGGACAAGTCATTAAGCAATTCCAGAAACATTAGCTTTTGCTCCGGTGAGTGTCAGTCACTTCAGGCTTATGGGGTAATGGTAGGTGGGGGTGGGTTTTGGTACATGCGGGGATGAGGTGGGGGTGGGTTTTGGTACATGCGGGGATGAGGTGGGGATGGGTTTTGGTACATGCGGGGATGAGGTGGGGATGGTTCTTGGTGGGGTGGGGATGATGTGGAGATGATTTTTGGTGGGGTGGAAACGAGATGGGGATGGTTTTAGGTGGGGTGGGGATGTTCGTAGGGATGGATGGGGATAAACATCATCCCGGTGCAGCTCTCTAGTTGAAACGATTAATGTTTAGTAGATGAGTTGATTTCAGTTTCT